CCATCCCCGCCTCTTCGACCTGTTTGTTTCCTCTCCACCTATCCTCTCCTCTATCCCTCTTCTATCCGCCTCCCACTCTCTCCCTATTTATTTCAAAACCCCCTTCCCCTCCCCCTTTTCTGATGAAGGGTCTAGGCCCGAAACGTCAGCCTCTCTGCTCCTATGATGCTGCTTGGCCTGCTGTGTTCATCCAGCCCTGCACCTTGTTGTCTCGGATTCTCCAGCATCTGCAGTTCCTACTATCTCTGAGGCTACTTGATTCCTGGAAGAAAACACATTATAAAATCTGCTAATATCACAGACTGAAACAAATTCTCCCTGTCTGTTTTGCTCTTCTCTTTATCCCAGTTGTTCTTTCAGCTCAGTTTCCAGTCAATTTATGTTAGTCCCCATGTAGCCAACCTCACAATCAGCAATGACGCAGCGAGTTCCAAAACTAAGGGAAGCAGTCCAGCAAGGTTCAGCCAATGTGATGACAAAGGACAGCGACCTAAAATGCTGATTATTTTTCTCACCTCATTTGCCACCCAACCCAAGTACTTCTATCATTTTTTTTACTTTTATTTCAATGTTTCAGTTGTAAGCCATTACTGTCTACAGGTTACTGCTCATGCACTCATCACGAGAGTACTTTTCCTGAGGTGCCGACAGCTATACTCAACGGACCAACTGCCAATTCTGATAGATTCCTTCAAAAGATTTTCTAATTTGGGAGTTAAGGGGACAACGTTTGGATATAATTGCCTCATAGGATTTTAGAAAATATAATGTTGATTTTATATTAGGAAGAGAGTACTATCAGGCTGTTAGTTGTAGAATCACTATAAATGTTTGGAAAAATAGACAGGAAAGACAATCTGACATTATTAAGCAACAAAAAATCTAAACAGCATAATCTTTCTCTAACATCACTTCAGCCTCATTCAGGATCTGGTACACAAAATGCTTACCCTCTGTCACAGTGAAAAGTAACTTTACTTCCAAAAGTAGCATTTGTTGCCTCATAATATCCATTTGCTATCGAGCCTGGATTACCACAGGTCTTTGCTACAGGTCAAAAACAGAAAGAGAAAAGAGTATTTAGTAATACCAAGATCTCCATAAGATTTTCTTTTCTGTCATTTAATTTCATTGAATATATTGTATACAGACAAATCTACTCTATTTTCCAAGATCAGGCTTCCCCAATTCTGGAATTTAGGGCTACAGTTTCCATCCATCAGCAGTCTGAAATTTTGATTAGATAAATAACAAATTCCTTCTAACTGTGCTATATAATTAATCGTTAAGAGTAAAGTACAAAAGCTATCTTTATCAACAAAATTACAGAAATTTTATGTATAGAATGTGGCCATTCAGTCCATCACTCAACATTGGAGCCTCCCCCGATGGATGCATCCTCAATCCCCTAATGTACCCCCATGGATATTACGACTGTATTGACAAATTCCAAACGAACGCCAGCTATAAGTTCACTGACGCCACCGCTGTAGTGGGACGGACATCTAACAACGACAAAAAAAATACAGAAGGGAGATAGAGACTTGGTGACGTGGTGCAATGAAAACAATCTGTCTCTCAATGTCGGCAAAACTAAACAACTCATCATGGACTTCAGAAAGAAAGGAGAAGAACATGCCCCCATCCACATCAACGGAATTGAGGTTGAGAGGGTGAAGTGCATCAGGTTCCTCAGAGCGACGATAACTGACGACCTCTCCTGGACTTCCCATGTAGATGCGACAGTCAAGAAAGCACAATAATGCCTCTTCTTCCTCAGGCGGCTCAGGGAATTTGGCATGTCCATAAGGTCACTCCCCAACTTCTACAGATGCACCACTGAAAGTATACCGTCTGGTGCATAACGGCCTGGTATGGCAACTGCTCTGCCCAGGACTGTAAGAAACTACAGAAGATAGTGTGCACAGCCCAGACCATCACGGAAGCCAACCTTCCATCCATGGGCTCCACTTACATGGCTCGCTGCCGCTAATGGACTGCCAACATTTCAGATCCATCGCACCCCGAAATGATCTCCTACAATCTCTTCCATCATGCAGAAGATAAAGAAGCCTCAATATACACGAGCAGGTTCAGGAACAGCTTTTTCCCAACCATTATCAGATTGATGAATGGACTCTCTAGCCTCAAAAAATGCAGATCTTGCTAACATTGATCCTGCCTAGTGCACGCTCTGTGCAATGTATACTGTATGCCTCTGTCTAAGTCTTTTCGATCTGTACATCCTTTGCTTCTTATGGTCTGCCTGTGCAGCTCGTAAACGAAGCTTTTCATTTGTATTTCAGCACACGAGACAATAAATAAATCAATTATGTCCGCACCAGGTCTCTGATTGAGCATTATGACTTCGTGCAACGCACTTGCCCTCTTCCCAATAAAACTGCATATTAATGAAAAAGAAACTAATTCCTCAATTAAATCTGCCTCTACCACAGTTCCAGGCAGTGCATTTCAGACCCAAACTACTTGCTCCATGACAAAATTCTTCTCACATCATATTTACTTCTTTTGAAAATCAGTTTAAAATCTGTGTTCTTTCATTCTTAATCTGTTCATGAGAAGGAACAGTTTCTCTATGACTACTCCATCCAGACTAATCACGATTTTGAAAACTTCAATCAAATCTTTTAGCCTTCGCCTCTCTAAGAAAAACGGTCCCAATTTCTCAAAGCTATATATGAACAATGAAGAGAAGGTTAGGCCGTTTAATAAATTCACAGCTGATCTGATTGTAACCACAACCAACCCCCAACAACCTTTCCTATCCTTGATTACCAAGATTCTATCTACCTCTGCCCTGAATATATTCAAAAACCGCTTCCATTGCCTTTTCAGACAAAGAGTTTCTAAAGATCCATGACGTTACGAGAAACAAATTCACATTATGTTTTAAATGGATGACTCCTTAGTTTTCAATAATTCTAGATTCTCCTTTAACGAGGAAGCATCATCTCCATGCCCACCCCTCAAGATCATATGTTTTAATCAAATCACATCTTAGTCTTCTAAACTCTAGTTGATAAAAGGTTCGGCTGTCCAACTTTTTCTGATACCATTCAAGTATCTGTCTGCTAAAGCTTCTCCAAACTGCATCTAACATATTACACCTACATCCTTCCTTAAATAAAGTGACCAAATTTTGTACACAATACTTCAGAAGCAGCCTCAACAAGGCACTGTATAACTGAGAATAACCTTATTTTTGTATTACATTCCCTTCCAATAAATGACAACATTGTATTAGGCTTCTTAATTATTTGCTGCACCTACATACTAGCCTATTGTGATTCATGCAAGAGAACTCAAGTTTCTCATCCTTGTCAACTTAATAACTTCTACACATATGGACACCCTTTACAGTAGTATACTTTATGCTGTGTCTCCATGTCCTTTCTACCAAATCGTATCACCTCACACTTCTTTGCATTAAATTTCATCTGCCACCGAACACCAAATTCTCAATTTCTATTTAAAGTTCTCCCTTGTTCTCCTCTCAGGTTAAATAGCTTCCAAAACTGAGTGTCAAAGATCCTGCTTTGTTGCCCTTTTAAATTGAATTTCCTCAGACAAACATGGATGGAAATGCAGGAAGTCAATAAATTTTATCTAGTGATATAAAATCTGAGTCACTCAACAAAATAACATGTTTCGATTTCAAACATACTCAGTATTAAACGTCCTTAATGTTGCATGTCCCAATCACTGGATTTACAAATTAAGTACTTCTTTAGCATAAGACATGTGAAAAATAACCTATTCAGTCCATTGGGACTGCTCTGCCACTGAATGATTTTATGGCTGATTTAATAATCCTTAACTCCATTTTCCTGCCTTTGACTCATAACTCTTGATTCCATTACTGATTAGAAATCAGTCCATTCTTAGCCTTGAATGTCCATAATGACCTAACCTCTAAAGTCCTCTGCTTTGAGGAATTTCACAGATTCTCTATCCTCAAAAAGGAAATTCCTCTCATCTATTTCCCTAAGTGGGTGATCCCATACTCTGTCAATACAGTGTGGAGCTAGAGGAACTTCATCAGGATGGAGGGTGTAAACCCAAAACATTGACTTTCCTGCTCCTCTGATGCTGCCTGACCTGCTGTGTTCCTCCAGCTCCACACTGTATTTACTCTAACTCCAGCATCTGCAGTTCTTGCTACCTCCGAACCCATACTCTGGGATTTTGCCCTCTTGTCCTAGTCTCTCCTACAAGGGGAAAACAATCCCTTCTTCCACCCCGTCAAGCCCCCTTAGAATGTGTTTCAATAAGGTCACATCTCATTCTGTTAAATTCCAATGTGTACAGGCCCTACTTACTCAACTTCTCCTCCTAAAACAATGACCCCGTTGTGGAGATAATCTCTGGAACTTTCTGTGGACTGCCTTCAATGCTAGCCTACTTTTTCTTAGAATTGGGGACCAAATTTGTTAATAGTATTATGGATGCGGTCTAACTAGTGCCTTTTATAGTTTTAGCAAAATTTCCCTACTTTTATATTTCAGTACTCAACAAACAGAGATCTGGCTGAACCTTAAAAATGAAAGCCACAGTAGCACGGAGGAGCATCCTGCATTGGCTTGATTACTAAATTTACAAGTCATGAACACTAATAAAGTTTTAGTGAATACTGAGAAGATGCACTTTGTATCATCGAAAGCCACAGGGGAGGTGCTGGAAGACTGGAAGTTGGTTAATGTGGTGCCACTATTTAAGAAAGGTGGTAAGGAAAAGCCAGGAACTATAGACCGGTGACATTGGTGGAGGGCAAGTTGTTGGAGGAAATCCTGAGGGACAGGATTTACATGTATTTGAAAAGGCAAGGACTGATTAGGGATAGTCAACATGGCTTTATGCATGGGAAGTCATGTCTCACTATCTTGATTGAGTTTTTTTGAAGTAGTAATGAAGAGGATTGATGAGGGCAGAGTGGTGGACATGATCTCTATTGACTTTAGTAAGGCATTTGACGAGGTTCCTCACGCTAGGCTAGTTAGCAAAGTTAGATCAATAGAATACAGTGAGAATTAGCCATCTGGATAAAGAACTGGCTCAAAGGCAGAAGACAGAGGGTGGTGTTGGAGGGTTGCTTTTCAGACTGGAGGTCTGTGACGAGTGGCATGCCACAAAGATCGGTGCTGGGTCTGCTGCTTTTAATAATTTATGTAAATGATTTGGATGTGAACATAGTAGGTATAGTTAGTAAGTTTGCAGACGATACCAAAATTGGAGGTGTAGTAGACAGCAGAGAAGGTTACCTTAGAGTGTGGTGGAATCTTAATCAGACGGACCAATGGGCTGAGGAGTGGCTGATGGAGTTTAGTTTGGATAAATGTGAGGTGCTGCATTTTGGAAAGGCAAATCAGGACATACAATTAATGGTAAGGTCCTAGGGAGTGTTGCTGAACAAAGAGACCTTGGAGTGCAGGTTCATAGTTCTTTGAAAGTAGAGTTGCAGGTCGAAAGGATAGTGAAGGCGGCGTTTGGTGTGCTTGTCTTTTATTGGACAGTGCATCGAGTATAGGAGTTGGGAGGTCATGTTGCAGCTGCACAGGACATTAGTCAGGCGCCTGATAGAGGTTTATAAAATCATGAGGGCATGGGTAGGGTAAATATACAAGGTCTTCTCTCTGGGGTGGGGGAGACAAAAACTAGACGGCAAAGGTTGAAGGTGAAAGGGAAAAGATTTAAAAAGGACCTGGGGGAACAGACGTATGGGAGCACCACCAAGTCCAAGTTCCCCTCCAAGGCACTCACCATCCTGACTTAGAAATATATCGCTGTTCCTTCACTCTCAATGGGTCAAAATGCTGGAATTCCCTCCCTAATAGCATTGTGGGTCAACCTACAGCAGGAGGACTGCAGGAGTTCAAGGAGGCAACTCACCGCCACCTTCTCAAGGGCAACTAGGGGTGGGCGAGAAATGCTGGCCAGCCAGCGATGCCCACATCCCACAAACAAATAGAAAAATGAACTTTTTCCACGCAGAGGGTGGTGTGTGTATGGAATTATCCGCCAAAGGAAGTGGTGGAGGCTGGTACAATTATAACATTTAAAAAGCATCTGGATGGGTATATGAATTGGAATGGGCCAAATGCTGGCAAGTGGGAGATTTATCTAGGATATCTGGTTGGCATGGACGAGTTGGACCAAATGGTCTGTTTCCATGCTGTACCTCTCTATGACTCTAAGTATAAGCTCCCTTCCTTTCCTGCATTTCTCAGCTTAAAAGAAGATTATTTCGGAATATTAACATGCAACAATTCTCCAATTGGGCATTGAGTATCTAAAACGTCTCAATTTGTAGTCTAATTTTCTATTGATAGACTATGTTTCCGAGTTTTATGAGTATTAAGGCTAAGGGCATTTTTGATACATCAATTATTTGTTGCCTCACCCAATAAACAGATGTCGGGCTCATATTTCACAGGTAAAAAACAAATGTACATATTTTTACTTTTAACTTCAAAACTAATTACATGAGAGTTAATTATAACTCATGAAAATGTGTTAGTTCCAGCAGGAGTCACTTTCTAAGTAAAAGCATAGACAAGGAGAAAGAACATAGGATTAAATTAAATAACTCATTACTTACGTTCACAAATGACCGCTAGTGGTGTCCATGTTGAATCTTCCTTGCAAGTAACAGATCTCGAAGCATTTAACATCTCTTTCTTAAATACATAACCCAAATTACACTTATAAGTGATCTTGGTACCCACATCAAACAAGGTCTCGAAAGTAAATTTGTTAGTTGGGAATCCATTTTCTAAATGTGGAGGTTTGCTACATTCACCTTTTAAAAAAAAACACAATTATGCTCATTATTTCAGTAGCATATAACTTCTAGGTAGCTAAGGGACCAATCTCTAACTCCAAAATCTCTTCCTCTAAACATCATTCTTTCCAAGTACCAGGCCTTTTAATTTCACTTTAATTTCTTAACATCTTGCACTTTATTCTTGTCTTGTACTTCTCTATGTTAGCATTTTCTCCAACTATAATCCCATTTTTTCTTTCTTTATAAATTATTTATAACTTATGTAAATCTATAAACGTGTCAATTATGAAAAACAAGATGGGTTCTGGATTAGGATGAAAGGTACATCAAGTAAAATGTCATTTTTGGATTTCAGTCAAAATAGAGGCCGATAGATCTTTTTTCACTTCTGAGAAAGGTTTTCGTTAAGAAAAGTCAGAGAATCCTTCCAAAACGTAACCGAAATCCAAAAAGGTAGTGGTGGAATTGTTTTTGTCCACTATAAAACTGCACTAAGGAAAGATATGAGTTCTAGCAAGTTCTTCTAAAAAGAAAACAATTAATTTTCTACTTAGCTTTAAACATAGGTGAGGTTTTTTTTAAACAAACTAAATGCATTAAATATGTTGGCAAGCTTAATCCTGTGTGTTACATGGCTTTCAGTATTCGAGAAATCTTAGATGCTCCTGGTAGTTTACATGACCATGTCTGCAGGAGAGACACCAGTTTGATTAGCTTGACACGTGGGTTTTGGAACATGTACATCAGTTACAGGCACAGCAAGCTGAGAGTTATGTGGATAGCACGTTCTTAAGGAAGATGGGTCAGAAATGGAACAGGTGAATATCAGTCAGAAGCAGGTGGTCAAGAGAGGCCCAAACTGTATTTCACTCAAAAACAGTGTTTCTGTGTTGGAAAACAATGAATGTGACAGTTCCTCTGGGGAGTGCAGTCATAGCCCAGCTGCACAAGGGTACAGCAAATAAGAACAGCTATAATGGTAGAAGACTCAATAATGAGGGGTACAGACGATGTGATTCCAGAATGGTGTGTTGCCATCCTGGGGCCTGGCTCAAAGATGTTACTAAACAACTACAGGGCATTCTGAAGGTGAAGGGTTATCAGTCAGATGATATGTGACATTGATACCAATGACATAGGTAGGAATAGGCATGAGGTCTTGCAACAAGTAGTTAGGGGAAAAAAAAACAAAGAGCTGCAGATGCTGGAAATCAGAAACAAAAACAGAAACTGCTGGAGAAACACAGCTGGTCTGGCAGCACCTGTGGAGAGAAAGCATATTTAATGTTTTAGGTTCCAGTGACTCTTTTTCAGAACTCAGAATTTAGGTACCAGATTGAAAAGCAGGACAAAATAAGCTAGTGAGTATAGAGTAAGTACATACAGCAGACGAAAGCGTGGCTGAAAAGTTGGTGGAGGAATGGCTTTAGATTTCTGAGTTACTGGGTCTGTTTCTGAGGCCAGATTGTACACATACAAGTCCAACGTGTTGCATTTGATATTCAGTTAGCAAATGCTGTTGGTGGAGATTTAAACATATTTGGCAAGGGAATGGGTACTGAGTGGAGAAAGTACAATAGTGGGCGACACAGAAACAAACAGAAAATAAACCAAGCCAGACTGGCAGGCAGAGCTTTTAATTGTCAAACTAAGACACAAAGGAGTTCATTAAGGTTGGATAGCATTTATTTTGATGCAAGGAGTGTTGCATGTAAGGCAGATGAGTTAAAAATGCTGATTGACACATGGGAATGTGACATCATGACTGTTATGGAGACATGTTTGAGGGGCAGGACTGCAACTCATATTCTAGGGTATAGAATCTTCAGGTGAGACAAAAGGGGTAAAAAAAAGAGGTGGTGTCACAATAGTGGTCAAGGAGTCAATTACTGCAATAAGAAGTGAGGATATCTTCGAAGACTCCTCAATTGAGGCCATAAGGGCAGAACCCACAAACAAAAAGGAGACAATCGCTGTTAGAAGTGTACTATAAACTCCAAACAGTTAAGAAATGATAGAAGGGCAGATGTGTAAGGAAACTTAAATAAAGTATAAGAAATAACAGGACGATAATATAGGGATTTCAACATGCCCATTATTAACTGATATAGACAAAGTGCGAAACGTTTAGAAGGGGTGGAATTTTTGCAACTGTACCCAGGAAAGCTTTTAAAGCTGGTGTGTAGACAGTCCTACAAGAGGTGGTGCAGTGCTAGCCTAACTTTAGGCAACAAAGTTGGGCAAGTTATAGAAGCGTCAGAGAGACAGTATTTTTATGATAATGACCAAGACTCATTAAGATTTAAGGTAGTCATGAATCAAAACAAAGATGGGCCAGAAATAAAGTTAACATTGAGTCCAGTGAGCATATTTCAGAGTTCTAAAGCTCCACAAATGTTGCCAGACCCGTTGAGTTTCTCCAGTAATTCTTACTTTTATTTCAGATCTTCAGCATGCGCAGTTCTTTGTTTCATTCCAAAACTAAAGATTTTGAATTTGGGGAAGCCATTTTCAGTACAACATGTGGCCAAAGTGGACTACGAAAAGCTATTTCCATGAAAATCTACATCAGAAGTGGGAATCTTTCAAAAAGGAAACAGTGAACTTGCAGGATCAACATATTCCACAAAGGTAAAGAATGAGATGAAAAATTCCAGGGAACCTTCAATATTGAAGGATGTACAGGACTGGAGATGCACAGAAGCTTACAGTAGATACCAAGGGTTTAAAACACTGGAAACCCTATAAGTATGTAGGAAGAGCTGGGGGTTACTTGAAAACAAAACAAAGTGGAGGGGGGAGTGGAAATGACTGGCAGGAAAATTAAAAAGCAGTTTAAAAGTAAATTAGGGGCAAGAGGATAACTAGGGAGAGAGTGGGACCCATTAAAGAACTACTAGCAAATTGTGGGTGGAGCTGGAAGGCTTAAATGAGTTCTTTACACCTGTATTCACCATCAAGAAGAAAAATGTGAGATATAGAAATCAGGGAAGAAAACTGCGTTGTACTTGAATGAATCAACACTGAAAGAGAGGCACTATTGTCAGTTTTAGTAAGTTTAATACTGGATAAGTCTTGAAATTCAGAGAAGTCCCAGGCAGCCAGGAAGGCAAAGGAGAAGATTACAGGGGCCCTGACACTAATTTTCAAATCCTCTCTGGACACAGGAGAGGTGCCATAGGACTCGGAAAACAGCTAATCTGTACCTTTATCCAAGAAGAGTGGTAGAAATAAACCAGGCAACTGTGAGGCCAGTGAGTCTAGCATTAGTGGTAGGAAAACTACTGAAAAGAATTCTGAGGGATTCAATCTTTACATGGAGAGGCAAGGATTGATCAAGGATAGTCAATACAGTTTTGGAGGGGGGTGCTCAGGTCGGACAGGTTTGATGGAGTTCTTCATAGCGTGTGATTCAATGGCTAAAGTTATTGTGGTAGATGTAGTCTCCATGGACTCCTTTAAAACTTTGACAATGTTTAATACAAGAGACTGGTTAAAGTAAGAATGCATAGGAACCAAAATAATATGGAAAACTGGCTTGGTGGCAGGAGGTAGAGGGTAATTGTTAAAGGTTGTTTTTGTGACTGGAAGTCAGTTTCCAGTGACATACTGAAGGGTTTGTTGCTAGGTCCCTTGGTGTATACTAATCATCTAGACATGAATGTATAAGGTTTGATCTGTAAACTCAGATGACACAAACTGCTAAGGAGATAAGTAGTGAGGTAGAAAGTATTAGACTACTGGTCGATGTAGATATGTTGTTTGGATGGGCAGAGCAATTAGAATCTAATACAGAAAAGCATAAAGTGACACATTTTGGGAGGACTAACAAGGCAAGGGAGTACATGGTGATTGACAGGATAGGATAATAGGTAGAGAAAGTAAACAAGGGAAAACTAATAAGGAATATAAAAACGAGCAATAAGAGCTTCTTTAAATATGGAAAAAGGAAGACAGAGGTCAAAGTGAACATCGAACTCTTAGAAAATGAATCTGGGGAAATAGTTTTGGGGAACAAAGAAATAGCAGAGGAGTTAAACAGATATTTTGCATTGGTCTTTACAGTGGAACATAAATTCAAACATTCCATGAATACTAAAGAATATGGGGGAGGAATCAAGTATCAGCACCGTCACGATGGGTCAATGGGCTAAAGAGTGGCCGATGGGAGTTTAAATTGGATAAATACAAGGTATTGCATTTTGATAAAACAAACAAGGACAGGAATTATACAATTAAAATTACGGCCTTGAGTAGTATTGTAGAACAGAGGTTCTGGTATAGAATTCTTTGACGTTTGTGTCACATATAGATAGGGTAGTTAAGAAAGCGTTTAGCACGCTTGCCTCATTGCTCAGACCTTTGAGTATAGGAGTTGGGATGTTATGTTTAGGCTGTACAAGACATTATTGAGGCATCTTCTGGAGTGCTGTATCCAGTTCTGGTCACCCTGTTATAAGAATGACATTTCTAAGCTGGAGAGAGTTCAGAAGAGATCTACCAGGACGTTGCCAGAGTTATAAGGAGAGGTTGGATATTTTTCACTGGAGCATAGGAGTTTAAGAGGTGACCTTTATAAAGGTGTAGATAAGGTGAATGGCAGGTGTCTATTCCCTAGGATGAGGTATTTCAAGACTACAGGCATATGTTTAAGGTGAGAGGAGAAAGTTTTAAGAAGGACATAAAGGGCAATTTTTCTTATTTTATGTTCGTGTGTAAAATGAACTTCCAGAGGAAGTGGTGGATGAGGGTACAGTTTCAACGTTTAAAAGGCATTTAGATAAGTACTCGAATAAGAAATGCTTGGAGGGATATGGGCCAAGTGCAAGCAGATTAGACTAGTTTAGCTTGGGATTATAGTCAGCACGGATTGCTGTATGAGTCTAATAGTAGTAGTATTGGACAAACTAATGAGGCTAAAGGACAATAGGTCCGCTGGCCTTAGTGGCTTGCATCCTAGGATCCTAGAGATTGTGAATGCATTGGTTGTAATCTTCTAAATATTCTCGGATTCTGAAGAAGTGGCAGAGGATTAGAAAACTGCTACTGAGACACTCATTTTCAAAAATGGAAGGAGCCGAAAAAGCAGGTAGCTATAGGCCGAGATAGTAGGAACTGCAGATGCTGGAGAATCTGAGATAACAAGCTGTAGAGCTGGATGAACACAGCAGGCCAAGCAGCTTCAGAGGAGCAGGAAAGCTGACGTTTCAGGTTTAGACCCTTCTTCAGAAATGGGGCAGGGGAAGGGGATTCTGAAATAAATAGGGATGGGGGGGGAGGCGGATAGAAGATGGATAAAGGAGAAGATAGGTGGAGAGGAGACAGACAGGTCAAAGAGGCGGGGGTGGAGCCAGTAGAGGTGAATGTAGGTGAGGAGTTAAGGGGGGATAGGTCAGTACAGGGAGGACGAACAGGTCAAGGGGGCGGGTTGAGGCTGGTAGGTAGGAGATGGGCGTGGGGCTTGAGGTGGGAGGATGGAGGAGGGAGGAGGGGATAGATGGGAGGAAGGACAGGTTAGGGAGGCTGGTCAAGCTGGGCTGGTTTTGGGATGCGGTCGGGGGAGGGGAGATTTTGAAGCTTGTGAAGTCCACATTGATACCATTGGGCTGCAGGGCTCCCAAGCGAAATATGAGTTGCGGTTCCTGCAACCTTTGGGTGGCATCGTTGTGTCACTGCAGGAGGCCCAGGAAGGACATGACGTCTAAGGAGTGGGAGAGGGAGTTGAAATGGTTTGTGACTGGAGGTGCAGTTGTTTGTTGCGAACCAAGCGTATGTGTTTCACAAAGCTTGGTTTCCCCGATGTAGAGGAGGCCACATCGGGAACAGCGGATACAGTATACCACATTAGCAGATGTGCAGGTGAACATCTGTTTGATGTGGAAGATCATCTTGGGGCCTGGGATGGGGGTGAAAGGGGAGGTGTAGGGGCAGGTGTAGCACTTCCTGCGGTTCCAGGGAAAGGTGCCAGGGGGAGGGGAGTGCGGAGCGGAAAAGGGAATCATGGAGAGAGCGGTCCCTCCGGAAAGCACATAAGGGTGGGGAGGGAAAAATGTCTTGTTGGTGGTGGGGTCAGATCGTAGATGGCAGATGGAGGATGATGCGTTGGATCCAGAGGTTGGTGGGGTGTTACGTGAAGATGAGGGGGATCCTGTTTTGGTTATTGCAGGGAGGGGGTGTGAGGGATGAGTTGCGGGAGATGCGGTCGAGGGCGTTTTAGACCACTGTGGGTGAGGAAGTTGCGGTCCTTGAAAAACAAGGATGTCTGGGATGTCCGGGAGTGGAATGCCTCATCCTGGAAGCAGATGCGGCTGAGACAAAGGAATTGGGAATAGGGGATGGCATTTTGGCAGGAAGGTGGGTGGGAGGTGGTGTATTCTAGATAACTGTGGGAGTCAGTGGGCTTGAAATAGATATCGGTTTCCAGGTGGTTGCCAGAGATGGAAACAGAGGTGTCCAGGAAGGAGAGAGAAGTGTCAGAGATGGTCCAGGTGAACTTAGGGTTGGGGTGGAAGGTGTTAGTGAAGTGAATGAACTGATCAAGCTCCTCGTGGGAGCATGAGGCGGCGCCGATACAGTCATCGATGTAACGGAGGAAGAGGTGGGGGATAGGGCCAGAGACTTGATACAGAGTTCCAAAGGCAGACCACCTTGCAGAACACATATATTCTGTACGCAAAAATCACCCCGAGCTTCCTATTGCCTGTTACTTCAACAGTGTTCTCTGGTCAACAGCTGTCTCAGGCTTGCTGCAGTGCTTCAGCAAACCTCAATGCAAGCTAGAAGAACAGCATGTCATTTTCCACTTGGGGATTCTGCAGCCTTCAGGATGTTAGTCAACCAGCAGGATTTTGGTGTGAGAGATAGTAGGAACTGCAGATGCTGGAGAATCCAAGACAACAAGGTGCAGAGCTGGATGAACACAGCAGGCCAAGCAGCATCATAGGAGCAGAAAGGCTGACGTTTCGGGCCTAGACCCTTCGTCAGAAAAGGGGGAGGGGAAGGGGAAGGGGAAGGGGGTGTGCATGTGATTAGATCCCAGATTGTGGGTGGAGCTGGAAGACAGAGTAAGATTTTAAATCAGTACTTTTGACCTGTATTCACAGTAGGGAAGAACAATGAAGATATAGAATTTGGGAAAGAGAATTGTGATAAACTTTTAAAAATTAGCATTGAGCGGACGGAGGTATTAGCAATCTTAGCAGGCTCAGTATTAGATAAGTCATGAAATTCAGATGAGTACCAGGCTACTATGGCAGGCAAGGAAGGAGATTGTAGGGGCCTTGGCATTAATTTTCAAATCCTCCTTGAACACAGATGTGCCAGGGGACTGGGAAAACGTGGTACCATTATTCAAGAAGGGTGGGGAGATAAACCAGACAACTACAGGCAATGTGGACCCTAGGAAGTATAGAGGACCAGCAGCACTTTGGCATTCAGGTATATAGATCCTTGAAGACAGGAGGACAGATGGATAAGATGGTTATGGCATACAGAATACTGGCTTTTATTAATTGAGGCATGGAATACGAGGGGTGGGGGAAATGTTATGGTAAGACGTTACATAAGCTACAGCTCAAGAACATTCAGTTCTAGTCCACTTAAGAGAGTAGTAAGGGCGTGGAATGCCCTGCCTGCAACAGTAGCAGACTCGCCAACTTTAAGGGCATTTAAATGGTCATTGGATAAACATATGGATGATAATGGAATAGTGTAGGTTAGATGGGCTTCAGATTGGTTTCACAGGTTGGCGCAACATCAAGAGCCTGTACTGCGCTGTAATGGTTCTATGTTCTATACTGCACAACAAAAAGGATGAGAGTAAACTGGAGCAGGTGCAGAGGAGATTCATCGCAATGTTGTCTGGGCTGGATGTTTCAGCAATGAAGAAAGACTAGATAGACTGGGACTCTCTAGTGTAAATAAGACTGAAGGACTATCTGATTGAGATGTACATGATCATGAGTGGGATAGCTACAGTAAATAAGAACAAACCTTTCCCCTTTGTAGTTAGGGATCAATAAGTAGAGGCTAAAGATTTAAGGTAAAGGGCAGGAAGCTTACAGAACATTTGAGGGGAACTTGTCTGCCAAAGGGTTATAGGTCTCCAGAACACTGCCTAAAAGGGTGCTAAGACAGGAACCATCATAGCATTTAAGATGTATTTAGACAATCACTTGAAGTGCCACAGCATACAAGACCACAGGCCAATTGCTGGGAAATGAGGGTAAATAGGTGCTTGATGACCAGCACAGACATGATGGGCTGAAGAGCCTCTTTTTGTACTGTATAATTGTATAATTCCTCATTCGACAATACAGTATCACAACACTAGTGCGATAGGTCATCTGCAGGATTTAGAACACAAAATCCAGGGAGTGGGGCTTGAAACCAAAAACTTGTCTTTCTTCTTAGCCAGTCCCTTCACACCGAAGGTGGCTGTCTTCCAGTACAAAGCAACTCTAGTCAACTGAAAACTCGGAGGTTCGTGCTTAACTGAGCCACACAATGTATCGTCAGAAGCAAGATGCTGGCGTTCAGTCACTTTCTGTGTAACTGACTCATAAATGTGTTTGTTTTTTTCAAAAAAAAGGGCAAAATTTAAAGATAAACAATTTAGCTATCCTTGAAGTTCTGTCAGATTTGCCTCCAACCCTTGTAAAACTCCACTTTGCTCGATACAGAGACAGGCAGGCCTGAAGCAGCAGAGGAGCCGGGGCGCTGCTTACCCGTTACCCGGGCCACCCCGACCGCCATGAGAGCGAGGATCAGTGTCTCCAACATTTCACAGCCCTTGCTTAATATTCGGGGAGATTATGAAAACGCTAGAATGTTCCTTCCACAAAACCGTTAGACTCCAAATCGATATATCAAGCTCTTCTGCAAGGCCCGCCGATATTTCAGTACCAGGCCTTTCCTTCTCCCGGCGAGTAACCACCGAGTCAACTTTCCGTTAAAACTCCAGCATCACCTCGTCACCCAAACACCGCATGCGCGTTCCGACGACCACCCTTCGACAGAACCTCCATTCCCAGCACATGCGCGTTCAGAAACTGTCAGTGGGCCGAGGAAACCTCTGCTCGTCGCATGCGTATTCCGACAACCGCCCGTCCACGAGGAAACCTCGACTTAACGCATGCACCTCCGAGCTCCCACCAACGTTATGATCCCTTTCAGCGCATGCGTGTCAGGACACAACTGCATGTCCAGTTTGGACCAGCTACCCTTGTTTCAGGTTGTGGTACCCGAATTTTTAAAGATATTTCGGGGGAAACAGCTTTACTATGACAGAGATAGTAGGAACTGCAGATGTTGGAGTATGAGATAACAAGTTGTACAGCTGGATGAACACTGCAGGCCAGGCAGCATCAGACGAGCAGGAAAGCTGACGTTTCGGGTCTGGACCCTTCAGAAATGGAGGAGGGGAAGGGGGCTCCGACATAAATAGGGAGAGAGGGGGAGGCGATGATGGAAGGTGGTTGGAGGAGCAGATAGGTGGAGAGAAGACGGACAGGTCAATGGCGTGGGGATGAAGCCAGTAAAGGTGAGTGTAGGTCGGGAGTTGGGCTAGGGGTTGGTCAGTGAGGAGGGAGGGGCGGGTAGGTGAGAGGGAGGACGGACAGGTCAAGGAGGTGGGCATGAGGCTAGTAGGTAGGAGGTGGGGTTGGGGGTTAGTCAGTGAGGTGGGAGGAGCAGATAGGTGGGAGAAAAGACGGACAGGTCAAAAAGAGGGGATGAAATGGGCTGGTCTTGGGAAGAGGTTGGAGGTGGGGAGATTTTGAAGCTTGTGAAGTCCACATTGAGACCATTGGGCTGCAGGGTTCCCAAGCAGAATATGAGGTGCTGTTCCTCCAGCCTTCGGGTGGCTTCGTTGTGGCACTGGCGGAGGCCCAGGATGGACATGTCGTCCAAGGAGTGGGAGGGGGAGTTGAAGTGGTTCGCCACTGGGAGGTGTTGTCGTTTGTCTCGAACTGAGCGTAGGTGCTCCACAAAGCGGTCTCTAAGCCTCCGCTTGGTTTCCCTGATGTAGAGGAGGCCACATCGGGAACAGCGGATACAATATACCACATTAGCAGATGTGCAGGTGAACATCTGTTTAATGTGGAAGGTTTTCTTGGGGCCTGGGATGGAGGTGAGGGGGGAGGTGTAGGGGCAGGTGTAGCACTTCCTGCGGTTGCAGGGAAAAGTGCCAGGGGTGTTGGGGCTAGTGTGGAGCGGATGAGGGAGTCACGGAGAGAGCGGTCCCTCTGAAAGGCAGATAAGGGTGGGGATGGAAGTATATCCTTGGTAATGGGGTCAGATTGCAGGTGGCGGAAGTGGTGGAGAATGATGCGTTGAATCTGGAGGTTGATGGGGTGATATGTGAGGACAAGGGGAATTCTGTCTTTGTTGTTATTGCGGGGAGGGTGTGTGAAGGCTGAAATGCGAGGGATGCGGTCGAGGGCATTTTCGACCACTGTGGAATAGAAATTGTGGTCCTTGAAAAACAGGGACATCTGGGATGTCCGTGAGTGGAATGCCTCAGCTTGGGACTAGATGCGGCGGAGGCGAAGGAATTGGGAATAGGGGATGGTATTCTTGCAGGAAGGTGGTGAGAGGAGGTGTATTCTAGTCCCCCTCCACCGACACCCTTATCCGCTTAACTGAACTCGTCCATACCCTTAACAACTTCTCCTTCAACTCCTCCCATTTCTTACAGACAAAAGGGGTGGCCATGGGTACCCGCATGGGCCCAAGCTATGCCTGCCTCTTTGTGGGATACGTGGAACAGTCCTTCTTCCACAGCTACACTGGCCTCAAGCCCCACCTCTTCCTCCATTATATCGATGACTGTATTGGCGCTGCCTAGTGCTCCCACAAGGAGCTCGAACCGTTCATCCACTTTCCTAACACCTTCCACCCCAACCTTAAGTTCACCTGGAAAAAACAAACGCCACTCTGCCCACCTCCGACGCCACTCTGCCCACCACTGAAGCCGCTCTGGCTGACGCCGACTCCACTCCGCCCACCGCCCCCACAGCAAACACCAGCCCCCAGCCCTGCTGGGTCTTCACCGTCCCCCCAGACCTCCCCCTTACTAAGGAAAAACGGTCAGTCCTCAGTAAAGGACTCACCTTTATCCCCCTCCACCCGAACATCAATGAATACTGCTCATGCCTGGACATCGAACAGTTTTTCCGCCGCCTCCATGCTTACTTCTTTAATCGCGAGACTAACCCCCCTCTCTACTGACCCCGTCTCTCGCCTCCAATACACCGCTTCCTCCTGGACACCACCTGAAGGCCTCCTATCCTCCCTCGAACTCTTCATCTCCAACTGCCGTCGTAACATCAATCGCCTCAACCTCTTCAACCCTCTCACCCACTCCAACCTCTCCCCCACAGAACGTGCAGACCTCCGCTCCAACCCTAACCTCACTATAAAACCCGCAGACAAGGGAGGCGCAGTTGTGGTATGGCGCACTGACCTTTACGTCGCTGAGGCCAGGTGCCAACTCTCTGACACCTCCTCCTATCGCCCCCTTGATCATGACCCCAACCCTGACCACCGAAACATCATCTCCCAGACTATCCATAAACTCATCACCTCAGGTGACCTCCCACCCACAGCCTCCAACCTCATCGTTCCCCAACCCTGCACCGCCCGTTTCTATCTCCTTCCCAAAACCCATAAACCCGACTGCCCTGGTTGACCCTTGTCTCTGCCTGCTCCTGCCCCACCGAACTTATCTCCACTTATCTCGACTCCATTTTCTCCCCCCAGTCCAGGAACTCCCCACCTATGTCCGTGACACCACCCACGCCCTCCACCTCCTCCAAAAGTTCCAATTCCCTGGTCCTCAACACCTCATCTTCACCACAGATGTCCAGTCCCTATATACTTGCATTCCCCATGCAGACGGCCTAAAAGCCCTCCGCTTCTTCCTCTCCCACAGGCCCGACCTGTCCCCCTCCACTGACACCCCTATCCGCTAAGCCGAACTCGTCCTTACCCTTAACAACTTCTCCTTCAACTCCTCCCACTTCCTACAGACACAAGGGGTGACCATGGGTACCCGTATGGTCCCAAGCTATGCCTGCCTCTTTGTAGGATACGTGGAACAGTCCCTGTTCCGCAGCTACACTGGCCCCCATTCCCCACCTCTTTCTCCATTATATCGATGACTGTATCGGCGATGCCTCGTGTTCCCATGAGGAGCTCGAACAGTTCATCCACTTTACTAACACCTTCCACCCCAACCGGAAGTTCACCTGAACCATCTCTGATAACCTCTGTCTCCTTCCTGGACCTTTCTGTCTCCATCTGTGGTAACCACCTGGAAACTGATATCTATTTCAAGCCCACTGACTCCCGCAGCTACCTAGAATACACTTCCTCTCACCCACCTTCCTGCAAGAATACCATCCCCTATTCCCAATTCCTTCGCCTCCGCCGCATCTACTCCCAAGCTGAGGCATTCCACTCACGGACATCCCAGATGTCCTCGTTTTTCAAGGACCACAATTTCCATTCCACAGTGGTCGAAGACGCCCTCGACCGCATCCCTCGTGTTTCCTGCACTTCAGCCCTCACACACCCTCCCCGCAATAACAACAAAGACAGAATTCCCCTTGTCCTCACGTATCACCCCATCAACCTCCGGATTCAATGCATCATTCTCCACCACTTCCGCCACCTGCAATCTGACCCCACTACCAAGGATATATTTCCCTCCCCACCCTTATCTGCCTTCCAGAGGGACCGCTCTCTCCGTGACTCCCTCGTCCGCTCCACACTCCCTACTGGCCCCACCACCCCTGGCACTTTTCCCTGCAACCGCAGGAAGTGCTACACCTCCCCCCACACCTCCCCCCTCACCTCCATACCAGGCCCCAAGAAAACCTTCCACATTAAACAGATGTTCACCTGCACATTTGCTAACGTGGTATATTGTATCCGCTGTTCCCGATGTGGCCTCCTCTACATCAGGGAAACCAAGCGGAGGCTTAGAGACCGCTTTGTGGAGCACCTACGCTCAGTTCGTGACAAACGACAACACCTCCCAGTCGTGAACCACTTCAACTCCCCCTCCCACTCCTTGGACGACATGTCCATCCTGGGCCTCCTCCAGTGCCACAACGAAGCCACCCGAAGGCTGGAGGAACAGCACCTCATATTCCGCTTGGGAACCCTGCAGCCCAATGGTCTCAATGTGGACTTCACAAGCTTCAAAATCTCCCCACCTCCAACCTCTTCCCAAGACCAGCCATTTCGTTCCCCCTCCTTGACCTGTCCGTCTTTTCTCCCACCTATCTGCTCCTCCCACCTCACTGACCAACCCCCACCCCCACCTCCTACTGACTAGCCTCATGCCCACCTCCTTGACCTGTCTGTCTTCCCTCCCACCTACTTGCCCCTCCCTCCTCACTGACCAACCCCTATCCCAACTCCCTACCTACACTCACCTTTATTGGTTCATCCCCACCTCCTTGACGTGTCTGTCTTCTCTCCACCTATCTGCTCCTCTAACCACCTTCCATCATCGCCTCCCCTTCTCTCTATTTATTTTGAAGCCCCCTTCCCCTCCCCCATTTCTGAAGAAAGGTCCAGACCCGAAACGTAAGCTTTCCTGCTCCTCTGATACTGCCTCGCCTGCTGTGTTCATCCAGCTCTACCCTTTACTATGACAGACTTTTTTTTTATAATTTACGTGTTGTTTCACTTTTTTTTAAATAAAGTGCTCTGGACTGACTGACAAGTGAAATCTTAACTGGAAACCCGCAATTCCTTTTTCTCAATGAAATTCCAAAGCAACAGAAACTGAAAGAGGTGTGGGAAATCTTGGGTGAAGTGTGGTTTAACACTCAACGGAAGGGAGGGAAGCATCAGAGGTAGCTGAACAGGAGACCTCAACTTTACTGACAGAAAGAGTTTTAAGTTCCTTGCATTTAGTTGGAGGTATTTGGGGAGGATAGGGAAGAGCGTAAAAGGAGACAGTGTACGGTGGAGAAAAGATGTCGAGGTTTATCTTTGAATTTTGGGATCATTTTGCAGTTTTGAAACAGGTGAGCAGAACCCCACACATTAGTTGGTCCAGCTGAAGTTGTCACTCCTAATTGTTCAAGTCCGAATATTTTCGAATTAACAGAGTAAGGATGTAAGATGTATCAGGAAAACCTCCAATGCCTCCTTAGTTCCTATGCCAATCTATTCAATAATCTCAGTCCATCTTCCTGAATTTTGTACCTTTATCCTCCTGTTCCTGAATGCAGACAAATTTGAACCACTTGTTCAACAATATGCCAGTGTGCTCTGGTTCCATTTACAGATTGTCCCCTGGATCCTTAATGGCCTCTACATTTTCCCTGGTTAGCCTCTTCCCCTTACTATACTTAAATCTTGGGTCTTCTATATAGTCTTACCCTCCAGTGTTTATTCATGGCCCCTCTTTACTCTCCAAACTGCTTTCTTAACTTCATTCTAGATTCCACTATGGACACTTGATTTGCTCCTTTGCATGTGGTAAAAGCCTATCCTTCTTATCGGTCCTGTGTATTTGTAGACGTCCAAGATTCTCTGGGCTGAAAATAAGGGTGTTATTGAGTAGAAGGTGATCAAAGGTGGAAGTCAGAATGTGGTTAAACTGAGGGAAAATGTTATGGACGATGGTGGGGGGGCGGGCAGAGTACAACATTGTGAATTTCAAAGAGACATTGCAAATAACTTGGGGTGCTTTGTCAAGCAGCAGCTACAGAATAAAATGGGAGTTTAGATGGGAGGATGAGATTGTGATTAAAGAGGGGAAACAAGAAAGTGATCATAAATAGCCATATCTGAACTAGAAATGATCGAGCTAGAGTGCAAGATCTAGGGACTGACTATGAATATGTGCAAGGAATATATACAGGGAAGTTAGTGTCCAGAATCCTCGTCCAATGTTCTATAGACATGGATTCCATCCCACTGTGGTAATTGGTAAATGTTGTAGACATGCTCGCCAAGCCGGTGGGTTTGGTTACAAATGTTTCATCACCCTGCTAGGTAATATTGTCCGTGCACCTCCAGTGAAGCATTGGTGTTCTGTCCCGCTTGTTATTTATATGGCTCAGTTTTTTAGGGTGTTCGGTACCAATTCCTTGCTATGCTGAAGTCCTAAAGCAATGTGGGTTATGGTAGGAAATCTAGAAGAGATGCATGAGAAGTCCAGTAAGGCCTTTCTTCAGTTCAGAGCAACAAGTTACATTTTCCAACTATGTTCTGGGCATTGAGACAAGATTGTCATTAGGGAGTGGCAAGATGCCTGTTGAGTAGGATTATTGCAAGTAAGCAGCCTTTTTAACACCAAATCACACCTCATTATTATGCAAGCTGCCATTGTAATCACAGGCTGGATAGAAATTAGAAACTGAGAATTCCCGATATAGAAATCAGCATTTTGTATCTGGTGACTCCAGCCTGCAGCTCTACTCTGGACCACCATGGACTTCTGGCAGCATAGCGGGGAGTTGTGCACAGGGAGTTGAAGATTCCCCATTGGAACACGTTACAGGATAAGAGGGAGATGGGTGAAGCATGAGGGGAATCGTCAACAGTGAGCAGCACCCTTAATTCAAGTTCCAAAACTGGCATATCAACCTAATATGACTCGGGCTGGGTGGTGGGAAGGTAAGCAGATACACACTCATAGATGCATGGGTGAGGAAATCGGGAGGATACGCAGTTGCAGTCTCAATATCTGCAGGCGGGATGAGGGAAATCTGTCCTGCAGTGTAGCTGATTAGCATTGCAGGTCTGGTCAAGCAACCAGAGATCCTTTTTGCCTTAATTGCTGACATTGTGAGGTTCTCTCCTGCCTTGGGCAGAAAAAAAAACGCATAGTCTCCAACAGTGCCAAGGACCCAGGGCATTTCTTCCTCAGTCAGCTGCAGAGAAATGGCAGTACTCCTAAACCTAAGCTACTAAAATTACGCACAGCAGCGTCAGTATCTAGGCTGGTGTGGGATGCAGGAAACAGGCTTTCTGATGCTTCCCCTGACGTATCCTGGCTCTCTGCCTCAGACGTGGAAGTGACAATATCATGTGGGGTGACCCTCTTGACTGCTGCTGCTGTGGGCATTGGTACCTATTGGTACATGTGAGATACAGAAGAGAGAATATTATGACCAAGCAGTAAAGGTTGTGATGTATGGATGAAATGCAACTTGGGGGTATTAAGGGACTGGCACAGTACCGTACAAAGCTTTTTATTGTTGCTAACTCATGGATAGTTCAACATCTTCACAGGACAGGTCCCCACACATCATCTCTGGCCAATGTCAAGATGCTCTCGTCTTAGTGGGTGAGAGGCTGAATGCTAGGCAACCCACGAACCATTCCGACCCTGTCAGACCTGTTATGTGCTGTTATCTCCTGAAACAAGCAAAGGAGGGGATGCAGTGAGATGAATGTGAATAGCATAGTTGTTTAGTTGGTGCAGCTGGGAGACAATTGGTGAGGTGGCCAGTGGCAGAATAGGAGCCTTGATGGGAGGTGGGTACAGAGATAGGGTTAGTGTGAGATTGTTGAAGATGGACCTTGGTAAAGTGGAGAACTGCATTGCTGGATATTCATTTGGGCCATGAAGGGTGGAGTGACAACTTCCCCTCGACACTGTGGTAAATATATGACTGTGCAGGACAGCTCCATATCCCAGCGCTTGATGGGTGCACAATAGCCTTTTAGATATGGTGCCGGTACTAGGGACATTTTACTATCTCAACATATCTGGTCAGTGTTGTGAACTTACAGCTACAATGACTGGTAGCATCAGATGAGAAGGGTGCCTAGGAACAGGGTAAGTAGTTTTGAGGTGAATTTGAAACTATCACCTGAGAATACTCACTAGACCTCAATGAGAGGAACTCTATGAAACTCAAGTGACACTGCCCAAAAATGGGAAGATTCTGCACATTGTTTTCCACATATCAAGGAAGTGATCATATATTTCTTGATAGGAATCAAAGAAGCTTTAATGGAGGATTTTAAAAAAAAAAAGTATTGTTCAGAATGATTATTTCAGTGGAAAATAAATAGAGGTCACAATTTAATAAAAAGGATACAACACGTTTTATTTAAATGTTTGTTCACAAAACCAATGTATACATAACCCAGATGTGTCTATTAATTATTCAAATCCTTTTAATATAACAGCAAGGTAGACTAAAATAGAATGCAAGTAAAATGTCATAAAAGATACCTGCTAATCTAACATTTGGTACAAAACAAATATCCTCAGATTTATGACTTTAAAACATAACTGCATTTTTAAACAACATGAATTTTTATGCTGTTTTCATGTTTTTAAGCATTAAAGCAAAAACCTTATGAAAATTAAAGCAGAAATGCAAGACACATTGTAGACATTTTCAAGGCAACAAGATGCAGGGCTGGATGAACACAGCAGGCCAAGCAGATTGGCCTGCTGTGTTCATCCAGCCCTGCACCTTGTTGTCTCGGATTCTCCAGCATCTGCAGTTCCTACTATCCCCGTAGACATTTTCAAGACTGTCTTATACCTTGAATTGAGGAAGGTTGAATGATACGGAAATACATAGTGATTTGGCATTTAGGTGCAGATGTCAAAAAAGCATTATCTCCATACTTCATTACCATAATAAAACCATTAATGTCTATTCAGTTTTATTGCAAGATAAAAGCATGGAAGCATTTGAGGTGATAGAAATTGTATTACCTCAATGACACTTCAAGATGGGCAATCTATGGCATTGCCAGTGGCATTAATATGATATGAAAGAATTTTACAAAAATGTCTGGAAATTCTTATTGTATTAGCACAGATTAATATCCATATTCTGCCAGCATATATATTGCTTTCGCAACTAGGCATGATCTGCTGAGATGATAGCCCTGATAATTAAAACTTTTAAATTGAATTAATGTAAAGTTGTGTCTTAAAGATTCACTTGGAGCTGCGATAGTTACTTTAGCTTTGCCATTACCTGATTCATGTGTGATTTAGTGGGCCTTCCCTAAGAAAGGTAGAATGGGTTTCTTATCAGCTGATAAAACAACCGTCTCAAATAATTTGTACTTATTGTTTTATAAAAGAAGACATGCCATTTTACTGAGCCCAGTAGCACCAGTTTGATGCATTGTTACCATGGAAACATGATAGGACTTCAGGTTTTGAAAAATGAGTCAGCCAATAGGATATGTAAGTGCTTCCATTATATTTACTGTTGAAAAATATCAGATATTTAAATAGTGGGTTATCACAAATGAAATTCAAAGACTGCTTAGAGCATGTGGATGCCCAAAATATATGCTAATTGTTAAAGTGAAAAGAAACTGCCTGAACCAACAGAAAATAATATTAAAATACAAACAAAAAAAAAGAGATTCTGTAAACAAGTTTTACAAATTTATTTTAAAATCTGGAATGACATATACAGTTTTTTTAAAAACAACGCTTTCTGGTTCTCTTGCCACACGTTCCAGACTTGCTGAGTTTCTCCAGCACGCTTTTTATTTCAAATCTCCAGCATCCACAGTATTTTGCTTTTGTATTGGTAACATATATAAAGTCTGCCATTTCTCATATCTTCAGGACGTTGAAAACACACACACATCCATCTATGTTAAAAAGGTGATAAGCTGCTGTAAGTTTATGTCAAGTACCGAATGCCGTTTCATATCTAACTTCAAATAACTTATTTTGTAAAGCAGTGAGAAGTCAGTTACTGGGCTGGACATTTTTCAAAGGAAGTCAACCAGCTCAAGTCTGAAACAAAATCAGAAATTGCTGGAAAAACTCAACGGGTCTGGCAGCATCTGTGCAGAGAAAGCAGAGTTAATGTCTCAGGTCCAGTAACCCTTTCTCAGAACAGGAGGAGAAAGGTCTGTTCTGTTTTGTCCTAAAGAAGGATCACTGGACCTGAAACATTATCTCTGCTTTCTCTCCACAGATGCTGCCAAACCTGCTGAGATTTTCCAGCAATTTCTGATTTTCAGCATCCACAGTTCTTTGTTTTATTTTGTTTACAGCTCAAACCTGATCCTTTTTGGAAACAATACAGTGACTAAGTGGCAAAGATGTATTAAAATAAATGTAAAATTGCACATAATTTTCACAATAACAACTTTCCAAACAATCCTAAGTGCCCAAAGAAATATCTTTCTTTCGATTATGCATTGTAGAAGGTACTGCATCGGTTTCCAAAAAAGAAATTCAAATTGTTTTATTAAAAATGTTATCGTTGTTGGGTGCAGTTCCAAATTTTCTTCACAGCAGATAAGGATTAAACATATGTCCTTTGAATTGCTTTTGAGGGGAGACTGTGGAGGGCTATATTTTGAATAAAGAGCTCTTTAGTCTCGATCTATTGGGAAACGAAAAACAAACCAAAAGTCTAAGTAGTTGATACTTAATAATGGAAAATAGCAAGATTATGCAAGCTGCAGTAGTATTGGAATAGCCAGGAAGAGCTTGAAATATGAAGGTAAATTCTTTATTTGTGTGATGACTATTTAACTGACTTTTAAAATGGTTAAACCCAATAGTAACACCAAATCTTTCCTCAATTTGAGAGAGCAAATATGTCTCAGTCATGGGAGAATCTAGGACCAGTGGATTTACTCTAATAATAAAAAAGAAGCACTAATTTAAGACTGAGATGAGAAGGAATTTCAGAATCTATGGAAGTCCTTGCCATAGAGATGCTATGGGGGCAAAGTATATTTAAGGCGGAGATAGATAGTTTATTAATCAGTAGGGGAAATCAAGGGTTATGGGGAAAATGTAGGAAAGTGGACATGCAGAATGTCAATCACCCATGATCCTAGTGAATGGCAGCCTATTTTTGTTCCCATTTCTTATGGTCTTTATTATGGTCTAACATAAAACTAGGACGGTATACAAAACTCCACCTGCACCCTACTCTTGGTCACCAATTAAGATGTCTGAAAGTAATCGATAAATAATGTTTAGCAATATAGGAATGGAGAATTAGGGTCACACAGGTCAGTAAAAATTCAAAAATTCCCATATATGCTCAAACCTAAATACTTTAACACAACCACAAGATCACTAACAGCACAGAACAGTTTGTGAAACAAAATTACACAAAGATTTACCTTTTATAATTTGAAATCGTCAACAATTATACTGGACGATTACAGGATTCAGAATGAGACATTTGGTTATCGGGTGAGCTCATGGGAACACTGCTGGCAAGGTAATATTCCCTAAAAAGGATACATGATATGCATAGATTAAAATATGATTATACAATTTTTTGTGTATTAGTGTACATTAGCAAAAGACTATAAAAACTTAATGCAGAAAGCAAAACGCACCACTTTATTTAAGTAGGTTAAGTTAATTGAAATTCTTCATATTCATTCATCGAGGCAAAAGTAATTGTTGCAAAATAAATTGATCAATTCTGACAGTCAGCAACATCATACTCATATGGAGCTTGTCATTTTCAGCCATGGGAAAAATCTAGTAAGCATTACGGTTCAATGTTTAATTTATATTTACTAATCAAATTAAAATCCATGAAGCTTAATTTTACCAAAAATCAAAAAAGTGTCAATTTCCAGGAATTCATGGTGGGTTTCCTTTGCTTGATGCTCATCTATGCATGATCTACATTTCTACAGCTGTGTTATCATGAGTTTACCAGCACCTGAAGTACTTGCCATTGCTGGGATCTTTCAGAGTGCCACTGGGACCAAACTTAAAGCCCAGCTTTGCATGAAAATCAAGCTGCCAGCCAGGAATTGCCCTTCACAGAAGATATAATGGAAGGGAAATGAAAGAAAATAAAAGCCTCTGAGGGTATACAGGTGACATTTCATTGAAAATAGTAGATCATAATCAAATGTAGTCTGTCTTTACATCATCTGTCTGTTTGGTCAACTGCCATTGTAATACAGCTACAAAAGTAAAGCTGCAGAGATTATATATCCTTCATGTTATACTCTTGGAACTGTCTGGAGTTGTACTCTTTCTGTAATCACTTAGCATAGCATATCATCTTGTTAGTGTCGAAATATGGCAACATCATGTTGTAAAGTCTTCAAACAGTTGTTAAAAGTTCACTTTTATTGAACAGTTAAAGTGAAGTAACAAAAAAAAACAAAAGAAGCTGCATTTGTTTCTCGTACTAAAGAGGGGCTGCTTGCATTTTGACGAACAAATTTGTGGTTAATGAATGATCACCTAGCTTACATCTATTAGAAGCAGGTGTCAGTTAAATCCTGTATGGCTCAATGCACCAAAAGTTGCACTGTTCTATCATGCTGAATGATGTTACGCCCACTCAATGTCATCATCTTTTTCCTTGGAAGACTGCAGCTGCTTTCCCAACTGTTCAGTTCTCATCACATCTTCTCTCTGCCTGTTCCAGTTGTGCAGAGCAATAACATGCAAGGATTACATAGCAACTGTGTCTGCAGTGTAATGCAATGACCACTGCCCCCGCGCCCCGCACAACCAATCCCCCAGACCAATACAAGCAGAGAAACCTCATCTTCAGGAGTTGTTTTGTCTGTTTCCCTACAGACCTAGCTGAAGAATGAGCTGTATTATCTAAATTTGGCCTCAGTTAGGGGATTGCACAAGGGAGATATCAGATAGGATTGCAGAGGGTAGGCCTTTATTCCCTGCAGCCATTCTTTTAAGACCTGGCCTTAGAATGAAACAGGAGCCCAAGAGTTGTCAAGTATATAGACAACATGGTAGATCCAAGATACATGTTGCAGATTTCTGAGATATGGTACTGATGATCACAAATGACTTGTACATTGACCGAGTAGCAAACTTTTTAATGATGAAGTCTGTCACATTAGGACATTGCTCTCTTAATGCTACAAGAATAATCTATAGGGATCTGCACATGGAAGAAAGAAAGCTACATTGGCAAAGCCTACAGCTTGAGGTCCAGCACTGACCTCATCATGAGGAAACATGAAAAAGTGGTATGTGCTGTGATCCAGCATAAACTGCATCGCTAACAGCCTTGATAGATCTTTGCAATGAAGATTCAGCAATTCATACAGGTCCCAGTGCGTTCTTGGAAGCAGATAATGACAAAAATTCTACACAGCTGTCATCTTGACGGCCACAGGGATTAGATGACCACCCAGCCCCTCAGTTCACAAGTCTTGCTCTAGCAAATGATTCAGTTCCATTAGAGTGTTATGTTACAATCAAACTGGGAGCTGGAGCTGCCAGGTAGCTGCTCAGACTTAAATAGAATTAAATTATGGCAGATGCTGAAAATTTGAAATAAAAACAAATAGTGCTGGACAAACAGTCAGTTTGGCAGCATCAGAACCAGTTCCACAGAAGAGTCATACCAGTCTCAAAACATTAACTGTTTCTCTCTCTACACATGCTGTCTGACCTGCTGAGATTCTCCAGCACTCATTTTATATCTGCTCAGACTTTCTTGCTGTGAGTTACACTGCAATTCTCCCCAATGCCCAAGAAAATAGTAAACTGTATAAATGAAGCAAGCTTAAGTAATATTGAGGTGTTAATGCCTGCAAACAGGCCCTTCGTCGCTCACTAACGACATCCTCGTCAGATCGTTAGAACCTCGGATGGAACATTGAAGAATAGGCCCAATGTTGGGAATCTTATTTTTCCAATCTCAAAACATTTTCCCAAATGACTCACTATTGCACAAGATTCAATCCACTGGCTTTAGGGTACTACTAATCAATGGCCCTGCTCAAGTAAAGAAAGTGATGGCCGAATGTCAAAGTTTTCAAACTGGTCTCTTAGCTGAGTTTTTAACATGGAAAAACTGCATTTGTTAGGTATATTTTCTCCCTGGCATCAAGTAAAGTTCAACAAGAAAACAAAACAAAACAAAAAAATTTGTGTTGCAGGGTAGCAGGTGGGTGGGTGGGAGATTCAGGAACAGGAGGGGCAGATTGGAATAGTAAATGAGGAAAGGGGTGGAATAAAGATTTAAAAAATGTTACTGGATAGCTTTTTTGAAAATACGAAACTATTTAACAAATAGGAAACCATCTTACCCTTTGTTTGATGATAATCGTTTTCGATAATAGCACACAACACAAAAAATGAAGCCAAGGACAGCAACAACACCCATGTTAATTCCTTAAAAAAAATGCATAAGATACACAATGTTTCAATTAGAAATAAACCCATGGATACTTAAAAGTAGAGATTCCTCAACCAGTTTTTTTAAAAAAGTTGGAACATTTCTTAAACTGGAAACATTTTCTTAAATTGAACACATTTCAATTCCAAATACTGCTATATTAGCACCACTTTATAGATTTTAACTTCCTGTAAAATTTCATTCATATAGCTGGATTTAATAAAATAAACTCTATCAAAAACTATACAACTGAGAGAAATGTATAGTTTCACATAAGATATTGCTGAATATATCTAGTCTATAAAATTAAGCAATGTGGGTTATATTTTTCTCTTTTTTTAAGCTAACATTAATGAACAGAGATTGCTAGTATATGAAGTGGAAAAATCCCTCCCTTTCTAACCCTTATTAATACATAGAATAAACGACAAGCCTTTATTCTTGGGAAATACAAGGACAGTAATTATGAAAGTTTTGCATTGCAATATTAGAAGGCTAATTTTCTGTATTAGTGGAAGTGGCACCAGATTCACTGCCTGTAACACATCCTGACAAATTTGCCTAATAGTTGCTTGAATGGATGCTTATTTGTTGCTTCAGCAAAAACAAAAAGTTACACAAAAAGTGTTCAAAGATAAAGCACATACTTCAAGACAGTAAGCACTTCCTTAATTTATCTCCTTTTCTATATTTGGTCATATGTTAGTTGTGGAATATTCTCTGGTATCTTGCTAAATGATTGAAAGAGCTCAAGGTACAGCTGCAGTGAACCTAAGGAAAAGTCCTAACTAACACTGTCTTGAGATTACAAGGATAAAGTTGGTGAGATTCTTGCTTAGAGACACATCATAGTAAGATAGAAGCAAATAAAAAAAATTAGGCAAGCATGGTATTTTAGACCCTGGATTTTGCATTCAGTAGCAAAGCAAAGGCATGTGCCATTAACATCAGAGAAAGCTCTGGCAAGAGATCCCGCAATCTCTGTGGTTGAGAACTGTCTCTCAATGAGAAGTGCACTGTTGAATTCTTTGATGCAATTCCCAGCATGGGGGTCATTGTTGTCATCAATCTAATCAATTACAGTGAAAAATTCTTAGTCATTCAGGAAATGAAAACATTTAAAAGCAAAATAATTTGAAAGTTTTAGAACATAGAACAGTACAGTACAGTACATGCCCTTCGGCCCATGATGTTGTGCCGACCTATCATCCTACTAAGATCTACCCTGCATACCCAACATTTTACTATCCTCCATGTGCCTATCCAAGAGTTGCTTAAAAGTCTCTAAAATATCTGACTCCACTACCACTGCTGGCAGCGTATTCCACACGCCCACCATTCTAAGAAATTTACTTTAAGAAAAACAAAAAAAAAAAAATTGGGAAAAACATTTAAAGTAAAAGGGTGAAATTGAAAAATGAGGAGAAAACCTTTCAAAAATTTAGCCTGCAAAACTTAAATATCACAAGTGTTAAATATTAAAGACTTCTATATTAATATGAAGTAATTTTTCAGGTTGGTTGTTCAGCAATAGTGATTACTGACTGACCAAGATATAAAACTGTTTAATGGGGTTCCAAAGGGAACTTGAGTATGGAAAAGAAGATGTTCTTCAGGATTTCAATAATTACTGACACTGGGGCAGATTGCTCATAGCACAGCAGGAAGCGATAGATCACAACTTGCAGAATTCCACTGATTGCTCACTGTCACCAGCACTTGTCTCCACTCACCCAACAAACTCCAGACTAATGAAAATGTTTACTGATAAACCGGGAAGGACTGCTGTGTTATTATGGATTTAACTTAAAGTCTTCTAAATATGTCTGCTACACTATTCTTCTTAACTTTTGGCAATTATTCTTTTGGTTTTCCATTCCAACAACGGGAGCAGCCAGTTTGGGTGACTGGATGAAAACTTCTTTGCTGCATGCTTCAGGCTAGTTGTCCAGGCAGGCTTAGATACTCTCCTTATTTGTCTGACTCCAGAAGGGTACCCTGCTCAAAAATGGTGGCTCAACTGTGAGGACCATTCTTAAAATTAAAATGTAAGGAGGTTGGAGGGAGGTCATCTCCTACTTGGTAACATTTCTGTCTCCATATTCAGGATTTAAGTTGGATTCATGTCACACCACAGGGCTTGTGCGCCAAACTATCACTGTGGTGAAGACAAATCAGCATGCAGTCCTAGTCCCCAGCCAGATAAATAGGGAGGATTAGCATTACGAAGAGTATCTAGCAGTCATATTAAAAAAAAAACTTATGCAAAGGTAATCTTCCAACAGTATCAAAATATCATAAATATAGGAAAAAGCCAGAAGAAAGAGAGAGGATACCTCCATCTTGAAGCAACCTCTCCTTTAATTCCCTTTAACTGCAGCATGTTGTTCCTTTCAAATTGGAAGACCTGATTGGCCCTCCAATTTTGATAGCCCATCTGCCCTTAATTGGGTTACAAGCCCACCTCCAGGCCAATTATGGGTGCATCCTGATGAAAATGCCAATATGTGACTGTGTTCTTCTGGGGGGCAGCTTCAGGAGTGGGAGCAAAGGAGTAAATCTTTCCCTTCTGAATTTCATGTTGTTTATTCATTATTTCAGTTCTGGTTTCAACAGGTTCTTCTATTTTTCTCTTTAAGGAGGAGTTCCATTTTTCTTATTATCAAGGGTAATTTAAATTAAAGTATACAGTTCACTGGACATTATTCTAAAACATACGGGTAACTTTATAAAATAGTCTTCAAGATAACCTGTAGGAACCAGAAACAGTCTTCCATTTCATGAATGTATATGTGAACTTGGATGAAACTAATTAATAAAAATAAGAGCTTTGAAAGACAGTTAAATGTAACAACTTAAGAAATCTATTTTTATTAAAACAAGTCAGTTAAACACACATGCGCCAGTTTTAAAGTAGGCAAGCTGAATGGCGTGGAAAAAAAAAGTTGTCTTTAAATCCAGCATGAGGATTATTAATCAATCATTTTCAAACGATACAATGAATTTTATCCTACATTGTTCATTAGGCACATAAGGTGTCAGTAATGCAACAGCTGGCTCAAAGCTTAACTTACTAAGGAAAACCAGAACAAAGATTTGAAAAGCTCACTTCTAAAAAGTATTAAAGCCTCATTAATAATTGTTCTAAACAAACATTTATATATTCACTAGTTTGAGCACTCGGAACACTAATTCAGTAATTATGTTTTAAAATGTATAATTTTGATTATCAGATGTCATTAAATACTAAATAAAAGCACTTCAGTGCAGCTAATAACATTTGTGTTATCTGTTTATCCTACTTACCGGTAGTCATTCCTACAAGTGCACTTTGTGCTGTAAGGTTTTAAAAGAGACCAAGTTAATAACATAGACAAATTAATGACTCTCAAAACTGTGTACCAAAGTTTAACGTATTTTTTTCTTGCCTTTCACTATGGCAGCCCACAATGGAAGGTCTAAATAAACATCACCAATTATTTCATGAGGAATAAAAAAACAAACTTTTGAAAAAACAATCCAGCCTCTTCATTCCCTTTCACTGTTTTCTGAGCATCAAAAGTAGCATTGGAGATATTGTACATCAGCAGTACTGTGTTGTGTTGATTTCTTAAAGTTACTACTCTCACACAGGACTTGTAAATAGTGTAGTTTTAATTTACTTGAAAATATAAAAATAGGTTCACTCAACACTCAGAATATTCACAGAAGTACTCTTCATCACAAAAACACAGCTTCAGACCCTTACACTCATCCTGATAGGATTCATAAGCATATTAGTTCTTAAAGCAATGTCGCAACAAGTGATGATTTCTGCTGAATGTTGGTTTATTCAGCTGAGGATCTCAGCTGATCAAAAGTTAAAGAGATATTGCATGTTACTGTTTCATAGATTCACAACTACATCACATAGCCCTTCACTTCCAGGTGTTTTGCCCTTGCACTTACAGCTCACTTTCTTATCCCCTAAACTCCCATCTCTCTTTCAGTTTGCTTCTCCACTAATGTTTCCCCCCCTTCTCTTAAAATGTATTTACTTCATGTGTCTCTATCTTAGCTGGCTGTGCATCACATTAATATCTATTTTCCACATGATCACTCAAAGTCACTGCAAAGTTCAGTGTGCAAATGAGAACATATGTGATGGTTCAAAAGTGGAAAAGATATTGGGGTCATGCAGCAAGACCCCATAACTCCAAATTTACCATGGTCAACCCATCTAACCTGCACATCCATGGACACTATAGGGCAATTTAGCACAGCCAATCCATCTAGCTTGCATATCTTTGGCTTGAAACCAGAGCACCCTGATGGAAACCCACACAGATGTGGAGAGAATGTGCAAACTCCACAAAAACACAGTCACCAAAGGCTGAAATCAAACTCAGGTCCCTGGAGCTGTGAGGCAGCAATGCTAACCACTAAGCTAAATGGTCATTTCTCATTTCACAGTTAGACATCCTAATGGGAAGACTGAATCAAAACATTGAACAATTGTTTACTTCCGCTAATTCAGAGCTCAAAAAAGTTTGAAGATGCAAAAATCCTGGAGAACTTGATGTGAACTAACATTACACGACAAATCAATGAAAGTGGCTCAAGCATTTGGCACATATTAGCAACTCAGTCAATTTTGATTTTAAAAAAAATGGCAACAAGACTTACGTTCACAGGATGGAACATCACCATCCCATCCCTCAGCTGTACATTGCCGATAGTCTCTACCTACCAGCTTGTATCTAGGAAAAAGCAAAAGGAAATCACTTGTATCAATGACCTGAATGTTAATTGGGGAAGTTGTAAAGTTTTCAGACCAGATAAGAAAGGTCCAGAGAGGAAAAATCTATTTACTGATCAACAAATAGACGCAAGAATAGGTTGGCAGAAAACTGCTTTTGTAAACAAATAAAATTGCACTATTGCTAACACGATGTAGATCAAGCTACATAAAATTTACAGGAGGAACATAATGTGCCACATCACCTTGGAACTAATTATAATATAACTGAAGCATTTGGAGGAACACAGCAGATAAAGTCATCTAGTATTGATTTCAGCATATAGGCCTCAGCATTAGTATCACATTTAACATTTTGTCTGTCAATAGATATTCCAAACCCATGCAGGTATGTCCTTGACTTTGATAAGGACTTTTTTGTTTAAAAAAAGTTGCCACCTCAGCATTGAATTGGAAGCTTGACTCATGCTCACATGGAAAACACTTACTAGAAATGCAAAATATCAAAAATATAGCCACCTGAAACAGTCTTGTAATTAAACATTAGAATATCACAGTCTTTCATCAAAATTATGTATTAGTTAACAGAGCAAATACTTACCCAGCGTTACAATAAAAGGTAACTTTATTTCCAGCTGTGACATTTGGTGCCATATAATATCCATTCAGAATGTTGCCAGGATTACCACAGTTAATTGCTACACAGAAAATATGATGGTAAAGGTAGAAATGTCACAAGACATCAACATATTCACCATTTCTTTCATTGCAATTTGCAAGATAATTTAACATGTAATTACGTAATTGTTTGGCAAATTAGTTTTGGAATCTGAGTTTTAGAATTTTTTCAAAATGGCTAAAAGAATTATGTCTTTTACTCTATCGCAGTTAAAACTTGCCCAGAATCAAGGCAATAATGCCAAAAAAAAAAAGCAGCTCTCCTTGGCAGGATATGTCATTCTTATGAGACTCTTGACGCACCTGCTCTACTTGGAACTCATTTGTGACAGGAGTCTGAGAATGATAACAGAAATTCAGACGTTTTAAAAATTATTCACTTGTGAGATATGGGCATCGGAGGCTGCCAGGAATTTATTGCCCATTCCTAGTTGCCTCTGAGAGGGTGGTGGTGAGCTGCCTTCTTGAACTGCTGCAGTCCATATGCTGTAGCTGAACCCACAATGCCATTAGGGACAGAATTCTAGCATTTTGACCCAGTGACGCTGAAGGGCGATATTATTTCCAAGTCAAGTTGGTGAGTGACTTGGAGGGGAACGTGCAGATGGTGGTGTTCTCCAGTATCTGCTGCCCTTGTCCTTCTAAAGGTAAGTGCTTATTTAGAAAGTACTGCCTAAGGATCTTTAATGAATTTCTGCAGTGTGTCTTGTAGATTGCACACACTGCTGCAACTGATTATGGGTAGTAAGGGAGTGGTAAACAGTGACCATAGAAAGTCTTCATCAGAAACATTCAGAGGTGACATTGAGGCCTCTGAGAAACTTCACAACTCCCTCAATAACTCTTTTATCCAATTGTCCTAACACCACCTGCTCCAAATGTGGTAGAGTCTGCAAATCACACGTTGGACTTAATAACAATTTCAGAACCAACCAAACCACAATGGAAGCAAGTGATACTTAGGGGCTAAAAAGGAAAAAAAGTAGAAAACCAAAGTGAACGAGTAATTTTAGGTATCTGTGCCATCTCAAAGACGACTTACTTTTTTGTTCCACAGGATTCACTGCTCTACCTCAACACCATAACCATAAAAGTCGGTCTCTGTGGTTTTGACTCCTCTCTAAAATTATTACTTTCACTCCTGCTTGATCGGTAACATATGCTTCAAAAACACAACTAATTCAGTTAAACACAGATACAAACTGCTTGGAGCATAAAATGGGGATGGGAAGGGAGAAGTCAGTATGTGCCAGGTTTAATTACAGACTATTGATATTGTCTGCACTTCTGCTTTACCCAGTACTTTGACTCCCTAGATTTCCAAATTTACAAAAATTGCATGCCTGTCAGTTACACTAAAGTCATCACCTCTTAAATGAAGCATCCCACTTCAGTATCCAGCTGGGGATATATTTTCTATGTTTCAACATTAACATATGCAGAAGGCAGATGATTGAATTTTTCAAACAAACAATTGATTTAACAAAAGATCATTTGTCAAATCACGCTTTTAGTTTTCTTTATTATGCAATGCTGAATAAAATCATTACTCAGCTGTTTCTTCCTATTCCACGATGTTAGAACTCCAAGATGGACAAATATTATAACAGGAAGAAAACTTGGATTTGAACTAAAGTTCCAAGAATGCATTGAGAGTGGCTCTGTCATTTGGCTGGAAAGATATATTTGTCACTTTGCTAAAGAAAGAAACAGAACTTACATTCACAGGATGGAACCTCACCATCCCAACCCTCAGGTGTACATTTCCGATAATCACGACCCAGCATTGCATACCTAGAAATAGAAAATCACCAGTTACCAGTCAACTTCAGCATAATTGGCAAAATATTATAGAGTACTGACCAGCCATGAATTCTAAGGTCCAAAAGAGGAAAAGTCTATTCAATACAAATTCTCTTAAAAAAAAGCATTTAAATTAAAAAAGAACAAATCTCAAAATACACCCAATCCAGTAAATATTTGCCAAGTCACTTCAGCTTTTGTATTCTTTTGCAAAATTACATTATTTGACAATGAAATAATCAGGCTTACTCTGTGATAACATGAAGACTCATGATCAGAAATGTGAAGAACAAAAGATAGATCACATCTAAATTGCCTTCACCACAATAATAAAATAATATAGTCCATCAATAATTTGTATACTGAATACTCACCCAATGTCACAATAAAAAGTAACATTATTTCCAACTGTTTTATTTGGTGCATTATAATATCCATTTAGAATCTCACCAGGGTAACCACAGGTTATTGCTGCACAAAAAGAAAAAGTAAAAGTAAGAGATAGAAATGAAACATACCTTCTAAATATCCAATATCTTTTCATTTCAATTTACAGATACTCAGCATGAAGAGGAATAGCTGCAACAAAACCTGCCCTCAATGCCAAGTTACTCTAATTTTGGAAATTAATTATTTCCAAAA